ATAAGGCTGCGTGGAGCAGAAACGAAACATGTGAGCTAAGGCACAAGATTAGAACTCTGCAGTCCCACAGGGCACATGGAAGCCAGTGCTTTCTTAGAGTGGTCTCATTCACAGGAGGCTGATCCTTTCCTAAGGTATTGGCCTGTTCTATACCAATTGCCAGGGCTTTCTTAGGGTGGTCTCAGTCACAGTAGGGTGATCCTTTCCTAAGGTACCGGCCTGTTCTATACCAATCAACCATAAATCTTGACAGTATGGTAAAGGCATTGTTAGCTGGGGGAGGTTCTGGGTAGATGAGTAACTCCAGTGACTGAGTTTTATGCCTGGGGGCTGTTCAAGCATGTAGGAAGGTCGGCTAACCAGGGAGGCTGAGGTAAAGACAGTTTCCCAAAGAGATGGCAAAGCACAATGTTGTGTTTCTTTTTCTTGCCTTCTTTTTTTTGAGGCAGAGTCTCACTATGTAGCCCTGGGTTGTCCTGGAACTCACTACGTAGACCAGGCTGGCCTTGAACTCACTACCTGCCTCTGTGTCCAGAGTGCTAGAATTGAAGGTGTATGCTGTTATGCCAGGCCTAAGGACAGTTCTTTTGAGACATGGTCTTAGATAGACCAGGCTAACCTCCAACCAGCTTTGTAGTAGTAGGCTACCCTTCAACTCCTGATCCTCCTCCCTGCACTTCCCAAGTTAGGGAAACTTTTGGAGAAGTTGTAGAGGTCTAGCTGAAGCCTCCGGGCAGATGGAAGGCCATTAAAAAAAATTAAGTTTATATTCTTTCTCTCTCTCCAATTTGCATGCGTAACAATTGGGCTGTTGTTAGCTATCTCTTTCCACAATGTGGGTTCTGAAGATTTAACTCATTAGGCTTGGTAGCATCAGTTTTACCTGAGGAGCCATCTCATTGGCCCCTACAGAAGGCCATTTTGTTTTTTGTTTTTTGTTTTTTTCTGAGACAGGATTTCTCTATTGTAACAGCCCTGGCGATCCTGGAACTAGCTCTTGTAGACCAGGCTGGCCTCAAACTCACAAAGATCTGCCTACATCTGCCTCCCAAGTGCTGGGATTAAACATTAAAAGCAAGTGCCACCAGCACCTAACTCAGAAGGCCATTTTCTTTTTTCTTTTTCTTTTCTTTTCTTTTTTTTTTTTTGTTTTGTTTTGTTTTGTTGAGACAAGGTTTCTTCTCTGTAGCTTTGGAGCCTGTCCTGGAATAGCTCTTGTAGACCAGGCTGGCCTTGAACTGGCAGAGATCTGCCTGCCTCTGCCTCCCAAGTGCTGGAATTTAAGGTGTACACCACCATCGTCCAGTTTGTTTTTGCTTTTGAGAGGTTTCCCTATGTAGTCCTGGCTCTTTTGGAACTTGCTTTGTAGACCAGGCTAGCCTCTGCCTCCTGAGTACTAAGATTAAGGACAGTGCCACCATGAAATAGAATCCCACATAGGCAAGGTTAACATCACACTCTATACGCTACAGAAGAGAATGGTCTTCTCTATTTTCTGCCTTTCCTTTCTGCATACTGGGATTGCTGGTATATACCCTCACACCCCATGACATTCAGTACTAGGGATCAAATCTAGTGCTTCCTGCATACCAAACAAGCACCCTACAAACTGAGCTGTGGCTCCAACCCTGTTTGGTTTTAAGATAGCATCTACTCTACTGTAATACCTAACCAGACAGATCAGTTCATCTCCAGTTTTGAAACTACGGAAGTGCAGACAGTGACAGGGAGCATCAGGAACAGGTGGGAGGGGACACATAGGCTCTCTCTGGCAGAGGTGAGCAGTGCCAACACCAGCTCAATGATCCTTGTGCTTAAGTCCTTCTGGCATAGGCACTTCAGGTCTTCCTTAGTTACCTCCCTAACAAGTGGGAACTTAGGGTCTCCCGCCATGTGGCCAGCCAGGGAGGGGCCACTACAGACACACCCAGGTCTTTCCTGGTTCACTTGTAGCCTTCAGGACCTCCCTAGACCTGCACAACCTTTCTTCTTGGTTCTCAGGGTTCTTGAAAGACCCAAGCTGGGCCCAAAATAATGTCTGCCTGCCTCAGTTTCCTACTTGTGCCTTCATCAGCTTTCTATAGTTTCCAATGCTTGCCTTTTCCACTCTCTTTTTGTTTTTGGTTTTTGAGACAAGGTTCTCTGTCTAGCTTTGGAACCTGCCCTGGAACTCACTCAGCAGACCAGGCCGGCCTCGAATTCAACTCACAGAGTTCCGCCTGCCTCTGCCTCCCGAGTGTTGGGATTAAAGGAGTTTGCCGACTCCGTCCACTCTTTTAAAAAAAATATTTACTAACATTTCCTATGGTCTCTAAGATTTATGGAAGTGAGGTTGTGAGAAGATGGTAGCTCATTGCTAGACTGGGCAGGCCTGGCGCTTGTTTCTTGTCCTTAGAGAAATGATTCCTGTGAGTTTGTGGGGCACATTCTAGGGTGCTCTAAGAGGGTGTGGGATAGGAATCAGGAATATAGCTCAGCAGGCAAAAGTGTTTCCAAGCGTAATGTCCTGAGTCAGATTTCTGGGACCCACAGAAAAAAGCAATCACCCACAGATTGTTCTCTGACCTTCACATGCATGCCCTTCCTCATGAATAAACGCGTGTGTGGGGGAAGGGAGCCAGCTGGATTCCAGGCCTGTAGGGTTATAAAAAGAAAAATTCTGTTTTCTCTGACACAAGGTCTTAGGAGGCAAATGCGGCCCCAAACAGGTCTGCCCAGATGCGTCTTGAGGAACAGGCAAGGAAAATGGAGGGAGTGTGGGAGGTGAGAAAGAGGGCCACAGGAGACGGCAGGGCAGGGTCCTCTCCACAGCTCTGACTGAAAGCACCCCAGGCAGTATTTCAAAGGCAGTCCCTGGTTGGGAGGAGCTTCGTGGGGGATGGGCACTATAATTTGGTAGTTTTAGTGGGTGAAATGAAAAGTTCCCGGGACTTTAGTTGAGACTGTACAGTTAAAAAAAGTGGTTAAGGTGGTGGCTGACTGGGTGGAGGTGGCGCATGCCTTTAATTCTAGCACTCAGAATGCCGAGGCAGACAGATCTCTCTGTGAATTTGAGGCCAGCTTATCTACAAAGGGAGTTCCAGGATTGTCAAGGACTGCTACACAGAGAAACCCTGTCTTGAGAAAACAAAAACAAAAAACTTAAAATAAAATAAAATTTTAAGCTGGGCTGTGGTGGCATAGGACTTTAAGCATTAGGGAGGCAGTGGTGGGAGATCTCTGGCCAGCCTGGTCAACAGAATGAGTTCCAAGACAGCCAGGGCTACATAGAGAAGCCCTGACTTCAAAACAATTAACTTAAGGTACTTTTTTAGCATGTTAGTTGTTAGACACAGGGCCTTGTACATTCTAGGCCACTACCAAGTTATAGTCCTAATTCCTGCAATAATGCTCCCCCCACCACAACAGGGTTTCTCTGTGTAACAGTTTTTGTCGATTTTTACATTTTAATTTAATTTTTAAGGATTTATATGTATGTTTTGCCTGTGTGTATGTATGTGTACCATGTGCCTGGCTGTGAGCCCCCATGTGGAATTGGACCCTAGTCCTCTGGAAGAGCACTCAATGCTCTTAGTTGCTGAGCCATCTCTCCAGCCCCTTCAGTGTTTTGTTTTTGGATCAGGGAGTGGCACAGGGTCTCTCTCTTCAGTCCTGGCTGTCCTGTAACTCTGGATGTAGACCAGAATAGCCTTGAACTCACTGAGATCCACCTGCCTCTGCCTCCTGAGAGCTGGGATTAAAGGCATAGACCATTATGCCAAGTGGGGTTTTTTATACTTCTTTTGTATGTTTATGTATGTAGACCTGTGAATCAATCCTATGGCACATGTATGGAGGTCAAAGGACAACTTGAAAGAAGTCTCTCCACAAGGTAGATTTTGGGGACTGAATACAAATCTTCAGGTTGGCTACAAGGGTCTTTGCATACAGAACCATCAGCCCCACCCAGCCTAACAATTTAAAAAAAAAAAACAAACAAACATTTGTAGGGCTTGTAAGATGGCTCAGCAGGTAAAGGCACTTGCTACCATGTCTAAAATCTTGAGTTTGATCATTGGGACCCATGTAGTGGAAGGAGAGAACTCACTTCCACGAGCTGTCCTTTGACTCCCGTGGTACGGACCTCCATGATAACACGCCATGGTATGTTTGCAAGACTGCACAAACACAAATACACTGATAAATAACAAGTTATGAGAGGTGTTGCTCACATTCACCCCTGGAGTAAGAGAAAAGGCCCTGCTTGCTCTCCAGAGTCGGAGATTAAGCCCAGCAGGCAAGCAGCCCTCAGACTATGAGGACGCAGGTGGCTGCACACCATGGAGTTTGTACATCCCTTGAGGGTCTCCTGACTGCCCCTTTCTTCTTCCCACCTTCAGAGAGCAGTCTTTAAGTCCAAGTTAGCCTCCTCCATGTGGAATAGAGATGGCTCAGTATTTTTGCCTCGGGGCTTTCAGTCATTTCTGGCTACACTAGGGAAGGCCGAGTTTTCTCTGACAACACTGTTGGACCTGAAGGGAGAAGGCTCAAGACTGCCCTCCATGTTTGCTGGCCTAGAGAGCCTGGAAGCCCATGGGAGGAGGTGTGTGACTCCAGGCGTGAGCCAGGCTCCTTCTGTAAGGTTTGGCATGAAATGCTTTCCCAAGGGAACCTTACAAAGCATCATGGGAGCACCAGCAGTTACTGGAGTCTGGAGTCGGGCTCCTAGCTAAGAACACTGACTCCACCTAACAGTACAGAGCCCCAGCCCAGAGACTTCTCACCTATGCCTTTCGGGGTTCTCTTTAGCTGGACCAGCCTGCCCTGAGGAAGACTCACCCTAGGGTCAGGATGTACCTTTTCTTTCAGGAAAATACTGCTGCCACCATCTACTGGGCAAAAAAGGGAGAGAAGAGGAAACATGTATGCTCTTTTTCCCTTGGCCATTCTTTAACTTCCGAAGTATTCTCTTTTTCTATGAACATTTTAATGAGGGTTGAACATAAAATAGAAAAATAGCATTCTGTTTGCTTTTTCATTTTAAGATGCAACTTTTCTTGAGACTTTCATACAAGGCAATGGATGGATAACGTTAACCTGTTAAAGAAAACATACTGATCACAGAAAAAGGCATTTCTGATACTTGTCATGGTTATTCATATCAAACTCTCAGGGGTTGGCTGGTTTAGTTTTCTTTTGGAAAGAATTCAGATTTACGTCCTGCCTCTATTGGACACTAGAAGGCTATCTGAGGACTGTCATCAGTTTCAGGTGATGTCGCCTGGAGCCAGTGTTGCTTAAGGTGGCTGGCAAGGAGGGGTGTTGTGTGAAGGTGCACGTGCTTGCTTCTCCTTCCAAGGGGTGTGGGCAGCCAGAGGCTACCGCCCTACAAAGGAGTCCTGCTTACTCTCTACAGACAGGTAAGTCATCCAGCAGATGGGCTGGGACCAGGCCCCTGTGTCCACCATACTCACCATAGTAGAATCCCTTATCATCCACAGGCCCATAAACTGTGACCACATCTCCAGCCCTCAGCACCAGCTTGCCCTTTGCCCGGACCCCTGCTCTCCCATCCCTGGGGTCATAGTCCAGAGCTGCCACCATTATCTTTGGGGTCCACAGAGTGGGTATTCTGGGATTCCCTTGAGGCATGAAAGATCCCTGGGAGTTGGTTAGACCCTCCAAGTCTTCATGCTGAGTCTCAGAACGCAGATGCCCTTGGGCTGGCAAATGCCACCTCTCGCTAGTCTGCCCTGTGCCCACCTCTACCTCAACTACCAGATGTCCAGGGATTTTGCCCACTTGTCCATTGCACTCTCCATGGTAGAAGCCATGAGGATCCCGTGAACCCCACACTCTCAGCAACTGCCCTTTCCGGAATACCAGTTCCTCCTCTGAAGCCTTGGAGTTGACAGACATCACCAGGGGGCTATGATCAAAGAGGGCCACAAAGACCCGGACTGGACTATTAGCTTCTGTCTCCAGCTGATCAGGAGTCTTCTGCCTTTGTCCACTTTGGAACATGTTCTTTCTTTGCCCTAGTTTCTCTATGCACTCAGAATCCAAACACACAGCCTCCTTCTCCTCCAAAACGTGATGCAAGTCAGTTGCCCGGCATTGGCTGGCACCTTGCTGGTGAGGTGGGAGCATCTGGGCATACTGCTTTTGAAGAAGGGCTGTCTCAAGGCCAGGCTTCTCCCGACTCAGTACTTTCCTGGATCCAGTCTCTGGGGAGAGATGGGTGAATCCTGGAGCAGGACCTCCACTGATGCACATGTGTGGGAAGTGGCTGCCTTCCACCCTAGACTTGCCAAAGAGCAGAGGTGGCTTGTGGTTCTTGGGACTCTCCTGAAAAGATAGGCCCTTTTCATAGTCCTTCCTGGCCTCTGTGGGCCCCTGGACTTCGTTGTCTGCTCCTTCTGAGCTCAAGTTGGATACTGGCAAATGCTTCCTTGGAGATTCTTCAGCGAATGCTTCTAGAAACTTATCCTGAGGCTCCCCACAGCTTCCGGGGCTATGGCAGCTGGGCTTGGTACTGGGAGAAGCTTGTACCAGCTTCTTAGGACAGACAGGGAAAGCAACTCTGCAGGTAGAAGGGTCACCATCTGTGTAGTTGAAGGGAGGAGTCTCTAGGAATGGGGAACAAGAGAAACAGTCCTCAGGAATCTGGGCTGGCACGGAATCCAGGGACTCACCGTAGAGCGACATGGTTCTCACTGAAACCTTCTGGCATGCTAGGGGAACCTGAAGCTGGGAAAATTCCAGCAGGGTGTTTCCAGCGGTGGCATCAGCAACTTCTGTCACCTTAAACCCATCCACATACACAGCATAGCCAGTGACCTGCACTCCATTGGAGGACCCAGCCGAGTCAATGGTTACAGGGAGCCAACTGACCACCAGGAAGCCTGGAGAGGCATGGTGCTCCACCAGCACATCCAAAGGGGGGTCAGGGGGTCCCGCTAAAGGGGTATCAAAAGTGACAGTGGAGGACATTGTTTCCCAGAGCACCTGCAGCAGGTCCCTAGGGAGCTGCACCCCCACCCTCACCCGGTACCGTGTGCCAGGACGTAGGCCTTGGAAGGTGTAGAAGCTCACACCTGAGGGAGTTAGGGTATGCTCTTCATCTTCCAGGTATACCACATGGGGATATCTATTGCTGCCAGAGGCCCATGTAATTGTGGCAGAGGTAGCTGTGACATTCTGCAGCTGCAGTTGCATGGGGGCCAGACAGAACACTCCTTTGGCCTCCAGAAGGGGTCTGGAGAAACTCCGCTCCTCCATGCTTGGTTTCTCGCCCAGCCAGCAGGCTTCTGTCTCGGTTTCTAAAACCTCTACTGCCATATCTGTCTTGGAGGCTGCCCTTACCACCTGACATAGGCTTCTCTCCACTGATCCCTGAACTTCCCCACATAATAAGCTGTCTTTCTTCAAGGCTTTGCTATGCTCAGCTGGTAGTGCAACTTCAGGGGACTCAGGGAATAGGTGGTTCAGGGTAGGGCTTCCTGAAATCTGCTCCACTAAGTTGGAGGACACTAGCCCTCGCTGCCCGTTCACAAGCTCCCCTTCATAGAAACCATCCTCATCCATGTCCCCAAAGACATATACATAATCCCCAGCTGTGAGAGGTAGCTGGCCTTGAGAATGCTTGTTAGACCCTTCAAGTGGACTGTAGCTATATTTAGCCAAGAAGATCTTGAGCTTGGGAGTGGTGGGAGCCTCAGAGCTCCTTGTTTCCAGGGGAGAGGACACACTGTCTGGCTCTAAATCATCTACTTCACTTGCTGTGTCCATGTCCAGAGAAAGGCAGGATGGCACTGTAGCCCACATGGACTCCACCTCAGAGGAAGAATTTGAGTGTGAACTGGTTTTCTTGGCTTGGGACCTGGAGTCCAGAGGTTGACTGGTAGGATCTTTGTCTGATACTTGGGGGATACCAGCTGGCTCCTCAAGGGTAACTGAGTTCTGCTGGGAGAGACAAACGGGAGGTTGTATGTCCCCGGTAGGCAGTGGCAATGCATGTTCTTCAGACTTTGGCTTGATCTTGGGCTTCCTGCTACCCATGACTTGGGACTCTGAAGCTTGGGTGGTCTCTGATGTCTCCGGGGGTTGGTCAGGCTGACACTGCAAGTCCTGCATCTCTCTCCCGGATGCCTTGAGGTCACTCGGGGCTTTATTTTGGTAGTACTGCAGCTGCTGCCACCTGTCTTGCACACATCCCGCTTGTTGCAGCAGCTGCTCAGCCAGCAGGCCAGTATCTTCGAGTTCCTGTCTCTGCCTCGCGTGGTTTTGCTGCTGGGAAACATTACTGTTCTCATCTGCTATCTTCTTTACCCAGTTGGCCAGGGCCTGCAGCTGCGCGTTCTCCTCTGACAGCCTGGCGCCCTTATGCAGCGCAGCTTGCAGTTGTGCCTCTGCTTTCTCATATCGCCGCTCTGCGGCGGCTGCCTGAGCGCTCAGCTCCTCGCATTCCCGCCGCTGTGCACCCAGTTCCCTCTCCAGGGCCTGCACCTGGTGTCGCGCTGTCTCGGAGAGTGAGCTGAGGCTGCCTGCTTCAGCCCGGGCGCCGGCTTTACTCTGATGTAGAGTCAACTGTCTTTGCAGGCGCAGCACTTCCCGCTGAGACTCACGCTGCAGCCGGTCCAAGTCATTGATGCTGCACCATTGCGCGCAGGTGGCGCCCTCTCCAGCAAGCGAGGAGCTGCCGAGGTCCGTGGCGATGTGCGCCTGCAGCAGGTGGCACTCCCGCCTCAGTGCTTCGATCTGCAGGTCCTTGGCTTGCAGCGCGCCAGCCTGTTCTGACAGGTCCTGAGTGCACTGACGGGTAAACACTTGGCCCAGGTTCAGTCCCTCGAGGCTTTCACCCGGCATAGGAGCGCTCACGGCCAGAAGATTGGTCTCCAGCAGCTTGCGAACCCTGTCTTCAAGGCGCTGAGCAAGATCGGTCAGCTCTGCGTGCTTCACCTTCAGCCACTTCACTTTCTCATCGGTCTCATCGGAGAAGCCCGCGCGCCACAGCTGCAAGTTCTCTTCGCGCAGGTCACAGCAGCGGCGGACAAGTACTTGCAATGCCTCGGCCAACTCCGAATTCTGCCTCACCAGTTCGGGGTAGTCCTGACCCGGCGGCGAGGGGATCAGGGCTTCGCAGGGCTTGTTCTCGGAGCTTTCTTCCTGCAGCTCACTAGTTTTTCTCTGTATTGATGGTAGCTGAGGCGGCGGAAGGAGACTGGAGGTGCCTGGGATGGGGGCGCTGGTCGAAGAAGCCCCTAACTCGGATTCGGAAGCCCGGGGACAACTCAGTGTGCTGTCGAGTGAGCAGGAATGTGCTGGTGTCAAGGATTCGAGGGAGCTGGAGCGCGTGGGCAGCAGTTCGTTTGGAGAGCTAACCCGGACGCCAGTGTTCAGGCTTTCGAGGGATCCGAGTCTACGAGCAGGCTTTGGGGTGTCATAAGTGTTGCTCTGGGTTTTTAGGGGTGGCTCTTCCAAGGAATGCGCGGCTTGGGGGTCCGCAGGTTCCGGTAAAACCGGCTGCCAACGGAAGTGCTCTAGGATGTATTTAAGAAAGAGCTGGCGTTCCGAGTCCAGCGCCGCCTGCAGGTGGCGGATGCGCGCGGCTTGCTCGCCGTCGGTCTCCCAGCGCAGCAGCGCCAGCACTTCCTGCAAGCGGCAACGGCATTGAGCCGCGGAGTCTTCGGACGCCCCCGAGCGGCCGCAGTAACCGCGGTTCACCAGCTCCTGGGCCAGCTGGCGCTGTAGCTCCCGAGCCTGGCGCACTACACCATCGCGCTCCTGGTGCAGCACCTGCTGCAGCTGCCGAAGCTCTGCCTCCTTCCAGCGCAGCAGCTGCCGGATCTCAGCCTCACGCTCGCGCTGCACCTCCTCCTGCAGCTGCCGCAGCTCCCGGAGGCGTCGTGCCTCCCACTTGGAGCGCAGATGGTCAGCCAGCTGCTGCCGCTCCTGCTCGGCCGACTCCCGCAGCTGGCGCGCCTGGGTCGCGAAACGCCGCCGTTCCGCCCGGCTGCGCGCGCGCTCGGCCTCCAGCTCTGCCCGCAGTTTCTCTAGCTCTCGCCTCTGCTCTTCCAGCACTGCTGCCGCTGGGCCGGGGCTTCCTGGCTTCTTGGGCGACGCGCGGCCACCACCCAAGGGGGTGGGTGAATCCTTTGTCATTCTGGCCGCAGCCGGGCAAGAAATTGAGCTAGCTTGGTAGGCCAGTTAGCCAACGGCCGCCGGCCCCGGCCGCTGCCAACCGCCCCGCGCGCCCCTTCCGGCGTCCCTAGGGGCCCTCCGCGTGCCCCTTCCGCCTTGGGGGTGGTCTCTCTTATAACCTACCACCTCTCCCTAGGCAGGGTGCGACTCCTGAGATTTCTTTCAAACTGGCCTCCGAACTTACCAGGATACCTTGGGCATATTTCTGAGCTCACACTTCATCTGCTCCATGGCTTTTGTGATCCATTCCATTCTCTCCTGGATACTGTGCAATCCTTTCCAGACCTATATTCCCAGTAGGGACCCTGGATGGTCTCTGCTCCTGGACTTGGAGAAAGTGGCCAGAGGTGTGGGTAAAATTGGTTTGTGGTCAGACCTCACCTGGCTCTATTAGGGTTTCTGGTAGCGTGTTTGGATTAGGTAACTGAGAATTTACTACAAAATCTGCTTAACTTCGTGGTTGAGCCCCGAGCCCCTAAGTGGGTGAGGTTACCCAGTGTGGCTATAACATCTCTGTGCCTACTCCTCCAAGGACCCCTTCTTGCTAAGCGTTTTCCTACATCAACTGAAACTTTTATGCCATTTTACAAATGAGAAGTCACTGTGCTTGGGTTTAGTGTCCTCTGAGGCATCTATCTTTCAAGGCCAGTTACTGGGGATCTGTACCTGCTTTGTGCATACCAGTGAAGTATTCCATTACCGAGTTACAGCCTCAGTCCTTTGATGTTTTGGAACTTCTCATTCTCTTGCTTCCACTGCCCAAGAGCCAGAATTACAGGTGCGTACTATCACTACTGGCTTCTTGTTTGAGTTTTTTGGGACAGTGTTTTTTTATCTTTATGTTATTTTATTGATATTTATTGAGCTCTACATTTTTCTTGGCTCCCCTTCCTGTCTTTCCTCTCCCCACTTCAATCCTCCTCCAAGGTCCCCATGCTCTCAATTTACTCAGGAGATCTAAGACAGTGTGTGTGTGTGTGTGTGTGTGTGTGTGTGTGTGTGTGTGTGGTGGGGTTTGTGTGTGTGTAGTCCTGGCTGTGCTAGAACTAGTTCTGTAGACTAGGCTGGCCTCGAACTCAGAGTTCTGCCTGCCTCCCAAGTGCTGGGATTAAAGGCATGTGCCATCATCACCCGGTGCGATTGGCTTTTTTTTTTTTTTTTATTTTGAGACCGGATTTCTCTGGAACTAGGTCTTGTAGACCAGGCTGGTCTCGAACTCAGAGATCCACCTGCCTCTACTTCCAGAGTGCTGGGATTAAAGGCATGCACCACCACCACCACTGCCCAGCACAACTGGCTTCTTGATTCATCTTTATCTTCATCCATTTAGGATGCTCAGAGATGAAGAACTTTCATGGCCACACAGCTTGGAAGTAGCTAAGTGGGGTTTCACATTTGCAAAATTCTACCTACAAAGTCCATGAGTATCCTCTCTTCAATTGCTCCATCTCAGGGTCACTTGTAAGGACTTCCTGCCCAGTATTTTAGCCAGGCCATTTACAATTTTGTCTCAGCCTCACTTGCTATTTGCTGTGGGTTTTTTGTTGTTGTTGTTGTTTTGTTTTGTTTTGTTTTGTTTTTCAAGACAGGGTTTCGGACTGGAGAGATGGCTCAGCGGTTAAGAGCACTGGCTCCTCTTCCAGAGGTCCTGAGTTCAATTCCCAGCAGCCACATGGTGGCTCACAGCCATCTGTGATGAGATCTGGCACCCTCTTCTGGCAGGCGGGTATACATGGAGACAGAATGTTGTATATATAATAAATAAATAAAATCTTAAAAAAAAATAAAAAAGACAGGGTTTCTAGCTCTTGTAGACCAGACTGGCCTCAAACTCACAGCGATCCGCCTGCCTCTGCCTCCCAAGTGCTGGGATTAAAGGCATGAGCCACCACTGCCCGGCTAAAAATTTTTAAAATGGATTTTATTTTATGTGCAATGGTGTTTTGCTACACGTTTGTGAGGGTGTTGAATCCCCTGGAACTGGAGTTACAGATAGTTGTGGGCAGACATGGATGCTGAGAATTGAACCCAAGTCCCCTGGAAGAACAGTCAATGCTCTTAATCACTGAGCCAACTCTGCAGTCCCTGAACTGAATTTTAGATTAACCAATGCAGTGGTGGAAGTGCAAGGCCTTCTTAAGTCTTTTTTTAGCCTGTGTCCTGTCTTGGGCATATATCTGAGAACTTCCGTTTGTTCCTATGCTATTATTTTGTTTTTCATTTGTCTGTTGATTTTGAAACAGTCTCTCAACATAGCCCTGGCTGTCCTGGAACTCACTATGTAGACCAGACTGGCCTCCACTAACAGAGATTTGCCTGCCTCTATCTTCTGAGTGCTGGGACTAAAGGCACGTGCCCCCCCTTTACATTTTAAGATTTATTTATTTATTATGAATACAGTGTTCTGTCTGCATGTAATTGATGCGCCAAACATCATTACAGATGGTTGTGAAACACCCTGTGGTTGTTGGGAATTGAACTCAGGACTTCTGGAAAAGCAGTCAGTGCTCTTAACCACTGAGCCATCTCTCCAGCCTTCCCCCTTTAAAATCTTCCTTGGAGCCAGGATCTTGTTAAATTGCCCAGACTGGCCTTGCACCAGTTATCTTCCTGCCTCAGCCTACCTACCAAGTAGCTAAGTAGCTAACACTACAGATGTGTGCCTCCACACCTGGCTCAAACCCTGCTCTTGTCCTCTCACCTTCTGCTCACTTTTTTCTGTCCTTTGATATTACTTTGGTAGTTTCCTACTCCAGGAAGCCTTTTGGATTCTCCCGGCTGGGCTTGGAGTCCCCAAGACACTATAGCTCCTTTGGTGACCCTGGTCGTTCTACCTGCTGCTGGCTTCTCCTTTGAGGAATGGGTATATCTAAGCTACCTTTGTGTTTCTGCCCAGAGTGGATTCAGAGGCTGTAAAAGTGGAATGCCTTTCCCATGAAGATTTGGATAAAGGGCTGGAGAGATGGCTCAGTGGTTAAGACCTCTGCCTACTCTTCCAAAGGTCCTGAGTTCAATTTTTAGCAACCACATGATGGTTCACAACCATCTGTAATGAGATTTGGTGCCCTCTTCTGGCCTGCAGGGATACATGCAGGCAGAGCACTGTATACCTAATAAATAAAAGACCTATGACCAGGCAGGCAGGAAGGACAGATGGTACTGTCCAACTTGGTCTCTTGGCCTGCTTAGCTTCAATACTGGGATACCACCTGTCCACAAGGCCTAGAGCTTCAGGGTGTGCATTGGCCATCAGGGTGTTGGACAGAGGCCTCAAGCTGGGCAAGGAGTGAAGGTCAGTCTTCAGCCAGGTTGTTGGCAAAGTCTATTCCTCAAAGGAGAGGCAACAGACTCTCCTCCTTCCCCCAAAGCAAAACAAAACCAAAAAAAAAAAAAAATTATATGCATAGCTTTCTTCTGGTCACTTTTGTGGCTCAGGAACTCTCCTTCAGTCTGGCTCCTTCCTGCCTTGACATTAAGTGGCTAACAAGAAACACACTGAGGTCTGGCTTTCTGTATTCATACATTCCATCAGAAACTCCTTGTGGTGCCTTCCTAGCCTAGGAAGCACTGGCACTGCCAACTGCTGTGTGTACCCAGCACCTGACCTTCTGACTGCTATCCTTATTTTCCAAGCCAGATCCCCTGAGTCTATAGAAAACACCTTTGGGAAACAACACAGGAATTATGGTTGAAGATATTCATTTCCAGAGCCGAAGCAGATGTGGTGTGAGGTAGGCAAGTGAGAAAGTAGGATCAGTCAAATGGCGGTGGCGCACGCCTTTAATCCCAGCACTCAGGAGGCAGAGGCAGGTGGATCTCAGTGAGTTCGAGGCCAGCCTGGTCTACAAAGTGAGTTCCAGGACAGGCAGGACTGTTACACAGAGAAACTCTGTCTTGAAAAACACAACAAAGCAAAAACAATAAAACAAACAAAAGAAAGAAAGAAAGAAAGAAAGAAAGAAAGAAAGAAGAATCATGGCCTTAGCCTTGAATTTGTCCTGGGTTAGAAGGGTTATCTTCATGAAGTCCTTAGATGGCACTGGTTTACAAAGACGATCCATGGGTGCTGGTGGCTTTCCAGGGCACCTGGTAACTAGGGCTGAATAGTTAGTTTTTTATTTCATGGTGGTGGGGGTGGTTTTACAGCTTGTGTGACTTGCTGCAGCCTTAAGTGGGACCTCAAGCAGTGAGGTCTGGAGGTCAGCCTGTCACAGGGGGAGGGTTTGGAGTGGATCACTACACTAGTCCCCACGGTAACCATGTGGGCTAGTCATGCCAGAACCCCCTGCAGCATGTTAGAAGTGTTCCGGAAGGCTGTCTTTCTTGGTCTCCACTCTGTTCCTTTGTAGGGATCAGGACACCACTGTGCATAGGATATGAGAGCTACAGACTCAGAGGTTTCATCTCAGTTATTGTTTTCTCTTAATCTTACTTTCTCACAAAATTACACAGGCTGTTTTCAAACTTCATTCTGTAGGAGTCCAGAATTCCCTGGAGATACCACAGGACTAGAGAGGAATGATGCTAGGAACTGAGGGAAAGAGAATGTCCTGCCTGCCTCAGTGTGCAGATCTAGTTGTAAGTGTCATGTATCATGTTCGATGAAAGATACTGGTTTAAGAAAGAGGTAGTAGTAGTAGGTAGGCCTGGAGAGATGGCTCAGGGGTTAAGAGCACTCCCCTCCCAGCATGGTGGCTCATAACTGTCTGTCACTCTAGTTCAAGGGGATCCAACGCCCTCTTCTGGCTTCAACAGGCACCAGAACACAAGTCATGTGTAGACATACATGCAGGCAACACACACGGATATGAAATAAAAAGTCAAGTGTGCTATAGCACACCTTTAATCCCAACACTTGGGAGCAAGAAGCAAGTGGATCTCTGTGAGTTTGAGGTCAATCTGATCCAAATAGTGAGTTCCAGGACAGCCAGGGATATATACCAATACTCTGCTTTAAAAACAAAACCAAAATTTTGACTATTCTTGCCTCTGCCCTCCCTGTTCTCCCTTTTACCACATCAAGACTGCCTCCTCTGTATA